TTCTCTGCTGCAAGGAGGGCCTTCTCTAGGCTGTCGACTGTGAGGGTGGTGGGACAGACTGCGAGGAAGTGGTCCCGGACTACACGAAGGGAGTCAGGGAGGCGAGTGACTAAGAAGTAGAGAGTGATGTACATAGGGGGGGGGTTCTTGGCGCAGAAGTCAGCAGGAAGCGCAGCGCGGTAGCGAGTATCACTAGTGCGGAGGTGCGTGATGAGATCAGCGACAGTGGGAAAGGCGGCAAGGTCAGGGAAGAGGAAGGGGAGCATGAGGTGGCTCAGTGCAGTAGTGGCAGGGGAGGAGTAGCGCGCAACTACAGCGTCGTACAAGGTCTGGGCACTCTTGCTCTGGCTAAAGTGCGCGCGCTCAGCGGTAGGCAAGTGGCGACGCACAGCAAGACGTGCAGCAGCATCGCGCGTGGCCCACTGTGAGCGAACAGTGGCGTCAGCATCAGCAGCAGGGGAAGGGACGGCGCCAGAGGTGAGGTCAAAGAGAGACAGACCGTCCGCCCTATCGCACTGTAAAAACAGCTGCAGGTCGTCGAGCCAGACCTCAAAGTCTATGGCTCGACCCTCAGCGTCAAAAGCGAGGACACTAGGGGTAGCCATGACGACGAGAGCGAAGCAGTGCAAGCAGTAGGGGAAGGGCACGCAGTGAGAGCGGTACAGTGCTCACCGGGCAGGGCAGGTCGGGCGGCTCGGTAGAAAGGCGGCTCGGCTACTCAGCGACTCGGCTCCCGGGCGGCTCGGCTCCCAGGCGGCTCGGCGGTAGGGCGGCTCGGGCGGGGCGGCTCGGCTGCCGGGCGGCTCGGGTGCAGGGCGGCTCGGCTGCACTGCTGCTCGGCGGTACGGCGGCTCGGCTGCTGCAGGTGGGCGGCTCAGCTGCTGCAGTTGGGCGGCTCGGCTGCTGCAGTCGGGCAGCGCGAGAGCAAGGGGCGGCGGGGCCGTGAGTGCTGGGGCGGCGGGGCCGCGAGACCAGGGGCGGCGGGGCCGTGTAGCAGGGGCGGCGGGGCCGGGAGCGCTGGGGCGGCGGGGCCGCGAGATCAGGGGCGGCGGGGCCGCGTAGTAGGGGCGGCGGGGCCGGGAGCGCTGGGGCGGCGGGGCCGCGAGCTCAGGGGCGGCGGGGCCGTGAGCGCTGGGGCGGCGGGGCCGCGAGATCAGGGACGGCGAGGCCGCGTAACAGGGGCGGCGGGGCCGGGAGCGCTGGGGCGGCAGGGCCGCGTATCAGGGGCGGCGGGGCCGGGAGCGCCGGGGCGGCGGGGCCGCGTATCAGGGGCAGCGGGGCCGGAAGCGCTGGGGCGGCGGGGCCGCGAGATCAGGGGCGGCGAGGCCGGGAGCGCTGAGGCGGCGGGGCCGTGAGATCAGGGACGGCGGGGCCGCGAGCGCTTGGGCGGCGGGGCCGCGAGATCAGGGGCAGCGAGGGCCGCGCTTTCAGGGTCAGCGGGGCCGCGAGATCAGGGGCGACGGGGCCGCGAGATCAGGGGCGGCGGAGCCGCGTGAGTAAGGGCGGCGAGGGCCGCGAGAGCAGGGCGGCGAGGCCGCTAAGGCGGCGCGAGGGCGGGCAGCGGGGCGCGGGCGCTAAGGCGGCGCTCGGGCTGCTAGGGCGGGCGGCTCGCTAAGGCGGCGCTCGGGCCGTTAGGGCAGATCGAAAAGTAAGAGCAAGGGCCCGGAGCGCGCTACGGGCAGAAAAAAAAAGGTTCGATGTGGTGGGCCCTAAGCACAGCTCCCACGGGGGAACCTGCTCGATACCATGAGAAATTTAGAACGAGAATGGATTGACTACGAACGAAGTGAGTACAAATAGGAAACCCTAATTGGGTTGTACCCCCTATGGGATACCCCACTATAGCCTACACAAATAAGTAAGCTATAATGTTCTGACATAGCATGCGAGCAGGTGCGGGGGAATAGCATGCGAGCAGGTGCGGGGGGATAGCATGCGAGCAGGCGCGGGGGAATAGCATGCAAGCAGGCGCGGGGAAGAAGCTCACTTCGTGGCCCGCTCCTTCTCTTTCAATTGTCAACCCCTTGCCTTTCGTGGCCCCATGTGCTTCATCATTGCTTCCATTGCTTTCCCTTCCGTATCTCTGTCCCCCCCAGCAACTTCCCTTCTCTCCTCATGTTCCTGTTGTTGTCTCGCTGTTTGCTTGCCCATCATCCCGCTCTCCCCATTCCGCAGTCAACCATCACCACCCCAGTTCATGAGTTGGAGGTGTGGCGTCTATCGTGATATCGCTTCCCCTTAGTCGATATGGACCCTAGCCCCGACGCCGATAACTTGGCGCCGACTTTGGCTGACTTCCCTCTTCGTCACCCAATGGGTCGTGGTCTCAGCTTCACTCTAGAGTGGTAAGACTTCTTAGTTCTTCGCAACCACAAGATAGAGTTCAACGACAGATGTTTGGGTTTCGGCATCAGGTAGGACTCGAGTAGTCGGCGCCGACTAAACAGGGTTAGTGTTGATGTCGGCGCAGTGGCCTTCTGATTTACATCGACGTGCACGGTATTAGGCATAGACCCCCTCCAGGAACGTCGGCCACCTTAGGAAGCATCGACCACACGCAGTCGCCCTGTGTACTTTTCGGCGTTTGCTCAACCGCCCTTGTATGAACCTCCTTGCCCAACCGTGTCGTCAGGTTCGCGTGGTCCCGACTTGGGATCGACAACTAGCGTTTGTGGGTAATCGGAGTCGGCACGCTTCGATCGGCCATGAAGGAGGCCGACCATTCATGCTTTGCTGCGGTTTTCGACGCCGACATCGCCGCTATCCCGTTAAGAACGATGTGAGCTGTTTCACCATTGATCAGTTGTCGTTTTTTGTTGTCGCGACATCGCGTGGTGTTGTGATCGACACCGTCGTGAATTGCATGTGCAGCCTCGGTCCGCTTCCAGGAACGCACTGCAGCGTCATTGCCATCCTATACCCTGGAGATCTGTTGAAGGCTGAGGGACAGGTGTGCAGGACCTCAATCCGGCACATCGACCCGCGGACCGGTAAAGGGTATCACCGCGACGAGGCCGCCCGCGTGCTAAAGTAAGTGCTGAATTGTCGTCGATGACCTGCTTGTTAGTCGGCGACACAGGGTATCACACGCTGACCGCCTCCCTCCACCGCGGTGCTTCAGGTTCTTCCGCACGGCTGTCCTGGCCGAGCTGGGGCGTCCCGGTAGGATGTGGGACTGGGCGCCGCCATCACAAGCAGTGGTGTGTCAGAATGTTATAATTATCTAGCCTGTAGTGGGGTGCTCCATAGCGAGTACAACCCTGTTAGGGTTTGCTATATGTATCCCAACTGCTGCTATTGAATCCCTCTCTCTTCTTCATTCCTTAATTACTTCACATGCTATCAGAGCATCTACGCTCCTGGCCTGTGGGCCCCACCCAACTGCTTCCGCTGCTACTCTGTCTGCTGCACGCCCCTTGGCGTGCCCCTCGCGCGACCCTTAGTGGCCCCGTCGCCACCCCTCGCGGCCCCGTCGCCGCCCTTCTCGGCCCCTCGCGGCCCCTTTGCCGCCCCTTTCAGGCCCCTCGCGGCCCCTTCGCGGCCCGTCGCCGCCCTTCCAGGCCCCTCGCGGCCCCTTCGCGGCCCCGTCGCCGCCCCTATTGGCCCCGTCGCCGCCGCCAGCGGCCCCGTCGCCGACCTCTCAGGCCCGTCGCGGCCCCTTCGCAGCCCCGTCGCCGCCCCTATCGGCCCCATCGCCGCCGCCAGCGGCCCCGTCGCCGACCCTAGCGGCCCCGTCGCCGCCTCTATCGGCCCCGTCGCCGCCGCCAGCGGCCCCGTCACCGACCCTAGCGGCCCCGTCGCCGCCCCTATCGGCCCCGTCGCCGCCTCCAGTGGCCCCGTCGCCGCCTCCAGCGGCCCCGTCGCCGCCACTTGCGGCCCCGTCGCCGCCCCTTTCGGCCCTTCCTCGACCCTGCCCCGGCCCCGCCCCGGCCATGCTCCGTCGCCAGTCGCGGCGCACCGGGGGCACGTGCACCGCCCCCCCCTCTTTTCCCGTCGCCCGTCGCGGCTCCCTTGGGGGCCGAGACCTGGGGGAGGGGGGCGAGCGCCGCCCCTTCTGCCGCCTGTTTTGGCGCCCTGGGAGGCCGTGCGTCGCCCCCCCCCCCCCCCCCCCATAACCTCCCTACCCGCCGTCCCGCCCTGCCCTGTGTTAGGGTCTGGGGTTGGCGAGTAAGGGGGTGGCGGGTGTGTGGTCTCCCCTGCTCCTCCTCCTCCTCCTCTGTCTCCCACTGCTGCAGCTGCCGCTGAGGGGGGTGGGTGTGTGGGAGTCGACGGAGTGGTGCTAGGGGGTGGGGTGTGAGTGAACCTAGGGTGCAGCAGGGTGTGTGTGAAAGGGGGGTGCTTTGGGAGTAGAACTAGGGTTTGAGCAGGGGGGAAGTGTCGAGGGTGTGGGGCAGCTGGAGGAGGTTGTGTGGAGGTAGCTGTCGTGTCGCCTGCAGCGTCTGTAGTCCGTCGCCCTTGCTTCGGTAGCCAGTGAGCCTGTTGCACCAGTCGCCAGTGGGTCCGTTGCTCCTGCCGCTCGTCTATAGCCGCGGAGCCAGTTACTCCAGTAGTCTGTCGCCCTTGCTTCGGTAGCCACTGAGTCAGCCGTTCCTGTGCCCGTGCCTCTGCAGCTTCAGTCGTTGCCTCCCATCTTCTCTCCCTCCACAGTTCCTCCTCCTCCTCACTTGCCCGCTGTGATTAACTCTAGCTTTGCTCCCTATTGTGAAATCCTGCTCTATACCTACTTGCTCATTGTGCTGATTACACTCCACTTTGGCTATGGGGGTGTGTCAGAATGTTATAATTATCTAGCCTATAGTGGGGTGCTCCATAGCGAGTACAACCCTGTTAGGGTTTGCTATATGTATCCCAACTGCTGCTAGTGAATCCCTCTCTCTTCTTCATTCCTCATTCTTCACATGGTGGAGGTCAGGCTGGCCGACTGCGACCACCCTAACCGCGATGTGAGTTGCACGTTCAAGTAGCAAGGGGGGTGCCCGTTTCTGAATGCTCCGCTCATCATGTTCCGTGCCTGTATGCAGAAAGTGCCGGGCACAGTGTCGGACGGGCATGTCGGTGCCGGCGTGCTTTCCGCGACGTCGTTAGGGTGGATAGCGAAACAGATCGACCATCTGACAGGCGAGAAGGGTCGTAGTGGGGTGAGCATCGAGATCGTCGGGATGAAGGGGCTGAAGGCTTTGCGCGACAGCATGGTTGAGTACGTCAGTAAGGTCATTGCCGTAAAACGCACCGCGGCGCCGACTTCTCAAGCCGCCGGACCCGCCGACAGTGCCATTGATGACGACGGCGCGGAAGGACAGAAGGCGCCCCAAGGTGCAGTTGCCGCCCAGCATCAGGGGAACGCGAGGGTGCATGGGGAAGGTGGAAACGGTGGAGGAGGCGACGCAGAGGCAGGTGCAGGAAGGTTGGAAACGGAGAAGTCGTCGTCGTCGTCTGAGTCGGAGTCGGAGTCGGAGGAGGAAGACGAGGCGGTGAAGCGTAAGGACAAGGACGAGGAGGAGGAGGAGGAGGAGGAGGAGGAGGAGGAGGAGGAGGAGGAGGAGGAGGAGGAGGAGGAGGAGGAGGAGGAGGAGAATAAGGACGAGAATGGTGAGAAGTGGGAGGGAGGGAAGGATGAGGAGGGGGGGGATGAAGAGGTGGAGCTCGTGGTGGAGTATGTAGAGGGTACGGTTGAGGCGGAAGTGGCGGTGGGGTCGGCAGATCAGGGGAATGAGGAAGAGAAGGATGACGGCGCGGGAAATGCTACGAGGTCGGCAGATGTGGGGAAGGAGAAGGGCGAGGTCGGCGTGGAGGCAACGACGGGAAATGGCCAGGATGAGGCGGCCTGCGAGGGAGGTGGGAAGGTGTCGATCGACGCCGGCGAAGGGGCGAACAACACGGGCGTGCAAGAGACCGGGGAAGCACCTAGTCGGCAGGGCCCTGAACTGGATGACGTTGAGGAGCTGCGACGGGAGAACTGGTTGTTGCGGGCGGAGAACGCTCGGCTGGCGACGTTGCTCGATGCGGAGCGGGCTCGGCTGGACAGGTTTTTTGTTGGGGTCAGTGGACTCGTCGACCACGTTAAAGGGTTGGCCGAGCAGGTCGACGACACCGAGAAGTATGCCGCGGAACAGCTGCGAAACGCGACGGAGGCCATGTCGGGCAACATCACCGGCAGCTTTGACGAAGCGTGGAAGCCGATGAAGACATTCGCGGAACAGGCGACGGAGTGGTTGGAGGACTTCGACAATCCGGAGGGTCGTGTCGCGTATGCACGGGCGTTAGCGGTCTCCGACTTGGCCGAACACGTAGATTCGGTGGTGGGCGATGCGAAGAAGGGGTTGGAAGAGTACGTCTCGAACCACCTTGCCTCCGCGCAGGTCAACATCGCCACCGCTGTGACCACCAAACTCGCCGTGCCGCCGCCGCCACCGCCTCATCCCACGCCGCCCGCCATCCTGGAAGAGCTTTTGAAGTCGTTCAAGGCCGACATCATGAAGGCGGTGACGGAGGCCACCCAGCAGTCTTTCGTTGCTTCCGGGATGAAGATGGTGACAGAGATGATCGGCAATGTGGCGCCAGGTCGATGTGGGTCGTCGCCTTCGGCCAATGACGCCGATAATGCGCAAAGGAAAACGGCCGAGAAGCAGAGCCATAACAGGACGGGCGATGGAGATGACAAGGAGAGCTCGAAGCGGAGCAAGGGAGCGGACGGTAGCCGCGGGTCGAAGCCTGCGCAACAGAGCGTGGTCGACCAGCTGAAGACGAAGGCGGGGTGGAAGGTGGTAAGGACGTCGCACAGCAAGGGAGGCGGAAGCGGGGGAGCAGAGGGTGGCCCTGCCGACGGGGTTGCCGCTAACGTAGCTGCTCCGACTGGCCCGCCTTTGGTCGCCGAGCAAACCCATCCTCAGGCGAGCGGTGGGAAAGGCGTGACCGACAAGGAGGTGCCAACTGCTCAGGCGGCGAATGATGGCGACTCCGGAACCACCAAGGGACCGTCCGTCGTGGCGGCGGCCAAGCCTGCTTCTGCTACGGTTGTCGGCACCACCAAGTCGAGTCCCCGTAACCCCCTTGCGGCTACCAGCGCGCCTGCCGGCCAGTCAGGTGCGAACAAAGATGGGGAGGCTGCTCCAGCTCCAGCAGCCCCGGCTGCCGCCAAGGGCGTCGCGAAGGCTGCTTCGGCTAAGGGTGATGCCGTGGCATCAGCTAAGGCCCCCCCTGGTGGTACCGCGCTCAGGGAGATGCTCCGCCGCATGGAGGCACATAGCAGGGACGTGCAGCAGCATCCCGTGGTCGACGCCGGCCTTCCTGGAACAGCACGTCGCTCCGTCACTACGCAGATTGCCGGCAAGTCGTCCGGTGCCCCACCTGCCGCGCCTCCGGTGGCCGCCCCACCGCCTGCGGACCCCAAGTTCGCTTTTCTTTGCGCCCATTTAGGCGCACGCAAAGCGGCTGCTCCGTCAGTGACCCAGCCGGAACTCGGCAAAAACGCGACGCCGACGTCGGTAAACGCGACCGCACCCACACCAGGTGCATCTATGGTCGATGTGGCGGCGGAGAAGGGAGTGAGTGCAGCGCTCGCCACCGGCGGCCGCGCAGACAAGCATGCCGATCTCGCTGTCGTCATGGCCCATTTTGAGGTAGCAAAGCGCCCCGAGCACGCCCTTGTTATGGCCATCATGCACACGGCGCATGTGGTGCCGTCGGCGACCCACGGAGGGGGTTCGGCGGAGCAGACGGCCGCAATGGCTGCTGTCGCCGAGAGAAATGCTGGACGGAAGGAAAAGGACGACAACGGGAAAGGGAAGGCGGTCTCTCAGAGGAGCACGCGGGCGATGTCTGCGGGGAAGTTGATGTCAGAAGAGAAAGGGAAGAAGGCGGAAGGGGAGCAGGACAAGACGGGCGGCAAGGGTAAGCCGACGAAGAAGGAGAAGGCGGAGGAGGAGGACGAGGAGGGCGGCGAGGGAGATAAAGAGCATGGACGCAGGGGTCATGGCATCCGCCGAGACAAGGCTGGCGACGGGCAAGGGTGGGTGGGCGAGATTAAGGTAAACGGACAGAATCGGTACATCGGCAAGTAGAGGGAGAAGATGGAGCTGGCCTACGAGCACGCGATTGCGCTCGTCGTCTACGACAGCTACGTGAGCAAGGTGCTCATGAAGGAGCTCACCGTCTTGAAGCCGGGGGAGTTGGATAAATGGAAGGAGGTGTGGGCGGAGGTCAAGTTCTTGCCGACTGGGATGTGGACGGTGATGTGGGCAAGAGGCTTGTGCCATCCGAGAGCACGATAAGACGGATCCTGACGTGCCGAGTTCTGTCGACCAAGTCGTGTCATTACTCTGATGTTGACGAAGTCGTGTCATTCTAATGTGTTTGCGCGGCAGGTTCTACGACATACTCGGCAGGTACCGTGGGTACGCGAGTTCGGGTGATGCGCTTCATGACGTGCTCTGGCCGGCGATCTGGTTCCCCATCATCGAGGACACGGAGGAAGGCAAGGAAGAGACGGACGCTCTCATGTCGGCGATGGTAAATCGCGTGTCGATGTGCGCGGCGTATGGGAAGGTCGCGGCGAGCGCGGTGTTTGGGAAGGCCGACGCGAGCGTGGAGGGGAAGGCGGACGAGAAGACGGAGATGGGGGCCCAGGTGTTAGCGGCATCGGCATGCGCCATCTGGTGCTTCTTGGAGACGGATGCGTCGGTGCTCGGTGCTGTGGGCGAAGGGAAGACGACGGCGATGGTGGCAAGTGCGGGGGAGGCGAGGGCCGAGGACTTCAAGGAGGTGATGCACGTGGTGATCGACATAGCACGCAGTAGGCAGGCTCCCGCGGGGGAGGTTGCACATAACGTCGCGCCATCGCTGCAGAGCCAGGCAGTGGCCAGGGCCTTCGCGAAGGGAGTTGAGGAAGTCGAGGCCGACATGATCGCAAGAGCGACAGTCAAGACCTTGGCGTTCTGGGGAATGTGCCCCGTCGTCGGGCCCAAGCTCAAAGCGCAGGGCATCGATGTGCCGTGTGACGCGAGGATGGAGTACGATATGGATCACAGGGGGAGGAAGGGGGAGAAGGCCAAGCAGAGCAAGGGCAGCAGCAATAGGAAGAAGGGCAAGCAGGGCATGGGCAGTACGGATGCGTAGTTGGCGGGCTGTGGTGTGCAAGGTACTATTGTATGGTCGGCGCCGATGTCGTAGTAATTCTAATTACTTTTGTATCGTAGGGCACGAATCTTTTTTGTTTTTTAGTAAATCACTGTCCACATTGAAACTTGCTAGCCGACTTTGAACGATGCGCTTTGTCGACGCATATGTCGACATCAAAAGGAACATGCTACTCGGCGAGCAGCGATGATAGAGAAGGTAGACACATGCTACTCCGCGACGAGTTCTGTCGGCGAATATGTCGACACCCTAGCTACATGCAATCCTGCAAGACGTCGACATCGAGCTGTGTTTAGATGTCAGCAAGGATAGTATTTTTGTTTCTTACTGAGCGACCGACTACATTTAACACAGCGGGACCCAGTAGGTTCGCAAGGGCCTTGCAGTGGGTTGTTACAAACTACCGGAACAGCATTTGGAAAAAAAAAGGGAAGGGGGGGTGGGGGGGGGGGGGGGGGGGGGTGGGGGGGGTGTACAAATCTGCCACAGTTAACAGCATCGAACTACGCACACGCATATCCTACATGCGCGATCATGCTGACTTCTTGCGCTTGGTCGGAGGACGGTGCACCGGAGCGGTCGGCTTGGCCGGTGCTGTCGACTTGGCCGGGGCCGTCGGCTTCGCCAGGTCGGCCTTGGTCTTCGGCATCTGCTCCTCCCACGTGTCTGGAAACAGGGTTTCGACCCAATCACTCTGCTTCAGGTTGAGCGCCACAAGCGCACAGGCAAGGCGTAGCTTCGAGACCACCTTGGGGCCCAGCCCCTTGACTCCCAAACCAGGCTCTTTGGACAACATCGGTGCCGTTCCCGGTTTGAGCACCGTGAGGGCATCGACGAAGGTCCCGATGCCCGATGTCGCGATCCTGTGCAGTGTGTCGACCACGGCCTCGGTGTCGGCGTCGCTGTCGCTCGCGCGTAGCTGGCGCACCGCATCCATGACCTTCAGCATGCGGCGCACCCTCTTGTTGAATGCACCTTGCGTAGCGCCGGCGAGGAGGGTGTGGCGGTCGATGAACCCCGGCTCGGCGATCCTGTCGCAAAGCCGACGGGTGTCATTAGCGGTGGCGGAGTTCCAGAGGCGCCAGGCGTCCCTCACGGTCTTGGCCTCCCGCCACGGTTGTACCACGTTGAGCTCGTAACTAGCCTCCTTGTCCGTCTGTGGGGGTGGCGGGGGTTTGTCGTCCCCTCCGTCGGCGCCGGCTCCCATGTTGGCCGAATCCGCCGAGCCACCCTCGCTGGGAGCTTGCGCGGTAGCACACGGCGGGGCCTCAGGCACTCTCCGTGCTTCTGACACACGGAGTGCCTCGGTGAGACGGGTTATCTCGGCGGTGAGAGACGCGATGGTGTCGTCGCGCTTCTCGAGCTCCTCCAGGAAGTCAATCTTCTCGTTCGCGGCACGCTCCATCTCCTTCGTCAGCTTCGCCTTGAGGGATATGTTGTAGTACTCGGTGTCCATGCGGACAGAGATTTCCTGCAGCGGTAGGACAAAGACGTTAGCCGCGAGGTGGTTTGGAATGCCCTACAGCCAGCTCGTCGTCGACTTACCTCTGCCTGAATTTGGGTCGGGTCCTGACGCTTGTTGATCGTCTCGGTGTCGACCCTCTCGACCCGTTTCGCCCAGTGCTGGAAGAGGGGGATCCGGCAGAACAGGGAGCCTTAGACGTACGGGTGCCATGGTGTGCGGACCAGCTTCACCGCTAGGTCCTCGGCGACGATGCGGCGCAGCATCTGGAGTGTGCGCCAGAAGTGCACCGCGGCTTTGTCGGCGTCGGACCCCTCGGCAACCTTCCCTTCCACCTGCAATTCGTCACGTGTATTAGGAGTTCAGACACTGTCGGCAAACACGACTCGGAAACAAGGATACGAGGGCGTCGACTAACATACCGTCTTCAGCATGTCGTCGACGCCGGGGAAGATGTGCTCGGTGAGGAGCTTCAAGAGCTTATCAGAGGGCTCCACCCTGCTCTGGCCCAAGAAGTAGTCCTGCTTGTAACCAGAGTAATCGGCCTTCTTCATCACCACCCCCACCGGAATGGCGGTGATGTACGCTCGCGTCATCTTGTCGAGCGCCCAGTGACCCAGCTCCGCGATCTCGGCGCGCGGCGTGCCGTCGATGGCCAGCTCCTGGGCCCCTCCAGCTCAAGCGGCGTGCACGTTCCTCTTGCAGAAGACCCCGTTTTTGTCCCACAACTGCCGCGTCCAGCGTTGGTGGCTTGCTGCAGAGAGCCCCCCTTGGTCGGTGTCGTTTTTGGCGAAGAAGAGGTGCTTCTTGTACCAGCTCGCGCGTGTGCTGGTGTCCACCAGCGGAATGAGGCGGACGCCGTGAAACTGGCCGATCTGGTCGAGGATGAAGTGCAACCACAGGCCCGTCTCGCCGACGGCGCACAACTCCGCTTCGAGGTGCCGCGCAGCGTAGCTCTGCTGCAGACGCGCATCCTTGGACGTCTTCAAGTTCCGCGCAGCGATGACCATGACGACCGGCTGGTTCTCCGGGTTCACCGACGAGGTGCTCGCCAGTCGGTACAAGAATATGTCGGGGAGCGTGATCTCGCGGATGCTTGCACCGCGCAGAAGAGAGTGATGGGAGAGTAGCGTGAGCACCTTCAACAGCAGAAACCGCCATAGCGTCTGCAACGGGCCCGTACCTCGCGGGTTCCATGCCTTGGCCGCCCACGTCGGCAGCACCCTGAACATGATCTGGCGGAACTGCTCGGCGGTGTAGGTATCGCCGATTGTTCCGCGACGCCGATCGGTGCAGTTCCTGCCGACAGTGCCGAGGGTGGGGGGCAATTAGGGCGGCGTCGACTCAGTACAAGACAACAAGAGGTTAAACAAAAACTCACTTGATGTCCCGCTCGTTCTTGGTGCGGATCATGAACCGCACCTCCGACCTGACCACCGATATCTCTCGCATGATGCTCAGCTCCGTCTCCCGGTATATCGTCGCCTCCACTCTCGCCGCCATCTGGCATGCCTTTATGCGCCCGAGGAGCGTGTGCACCGTTGTAGATTGCACAGGCTGTGTTCCTGTGGCGTTGTCGCCCTTCTTGCTGGACTCGGCATCGAGATTCAACTCCTGAACCATGTACTTCACGTATGCGCGAAGCCGGGACTTGGTGACCCTAGGGCCGTGCAGCCACACGTACGACCGGGGGACATTGGCCTCTTGGTCCCAGTTTTTCTTCTTGTTGTCCCGGATGTAGTGCCCTATCTCGTCGACGTGCTTAAGCATGTACTCCTGCGGAAGCTTGTTGCGAATTTGCCTCAACATCTTCGCCGCCCACCTCTTGTAGTGATAGATCCACGAGGTGTACTGCCTCAGCGTGCTGTTCCTCTCCACGGTTTGCAGGTGGCGTAGGGCGTCCAAGACGAGCACGTCGATGGTCGCGTACACCATGTCTTCCTCGACGAAGTCTGCCGCCCTCCACTGTTCGCGCGGCACCGACAAATTCTCCTGGTCGGCATCCTCGTCCTGTTCGAGCAGATCATCTATGTATTCAAGTTCCCGCCTGAGCCGTTCTTCCAAGGTGCGCTGACTAGTGCTACGCGGCGGGCGCTCGTCGTTTTCGTCATCGCTTTCCTCCTCCTCCTCCTCCTCCCCCCCATCCTCCTCCTCATCGACCTCAACCTGGTTTCCAGAGCCGGCCGGTGCCGACGAAGTTCCTGGCCGTCCATTTCGCGTCGGATTCTGTTTTTTATTCTTGTTAATTTCCCCGATCGGCGTGTCAGAATGTTATGCTCTAGCCTGTAGTGGGGTGCTCTATAGCGAGTACAACCCTTCTAGGGTTTGCTATTTGTATCCTCATTCTTGCTAGTGCAAGCACTCTTTTACCTAAACTGTCTCGTGCCTAGCTAGGACTCTCCTAGCTATGGCGCCTTTACTCTATCACTCATTTTCACATGGTTTCAGAGCACATATGCTCCTGGCCTGTGGGCCCTACTACTGCTTCCGCTGCGCCAGGCCCGCGCGCGGCTTGGGCCGCCTGCGCGCGGTTCGGGAGGCTGTGCCAGGCCCGTGGGCGGCCCGTTCTTCGCTGCCCCTGCCCTCCCCGCTGTTCCCCGTGCTTCTGAAGGCGCCCCACCCCTCCTTCTGCCCGTTCTCCTGGATTAGGGTTTGGGGGTGGGGGGCATGGGGGTGCAGCTTCTGTGTGCCGTTCCCTGCTCCTCCTCCTCCTCCGTCTCCCTGTGCTGCAGCTGCCGCTGAGGGGGGGTGGACCTGTTGGAGCCGTCGGAGTGGTACTAAGGGGGGGTGAAGGGGGAGTGGAGCTAGGGGTGAAGCAGGGGGTGTGTGTAAGGGGGGGTGGTACTGATTGGGAGAGGTTGAACGGAGGTTGACGTCGTGTCGCCAGCAGCACCTGTAGTCCGGGGAGTTGCTCCGGTAGCCCAGCCGTAGCCACCTGTGTCAGTCGCCCGTGGGTCTGTTGCTCGTCTGCCGCTACTTTTAGCCGCCGGGCCAGTTACTCTAGTAGCCCGAAGCGCTGTTCCGGTAGCCGCTGTGCCAGTGTGCCTCCTGTTGCCCGTGTGTCTGTAGCTTCAGCCGTCGCCTCCTATCTCCTCTCCTCTCACTGTCCGTCCTCCTCCTCACTTGCCCGTTGTGACTACCACTAGCTTTGCTCATAATTGTGAACTTTAAACTATTGCTTCTTGAACCTGTGCTCAGAATGTGTGGTGACATTGTGATCCACCCTGAGCTTGTTCTGCTTTGCTTGCTCTGCTGATTACACCCCACTTTGGCTATGGGGGTGTGTCAGAATGTTATGCTCTAGCCTGTAGTGGGGTGCTCTATAGCGAGTACAACCCTTCTAGGGTTTGCTATTTGTATCCTCATTCTTGCTAGTGCAAGCACTCTTTTACCTAAACTGTCTCGTGCCTAGCTAGGACTCTCCTAGCTATGGCGCCTTTACTCTATCACTTATTTTCACACGGCGGTGGGGGAATGTTCTTGGTGAACTCCCCTTCTGGAATCTGCGTCAGCTTGT